GCTAGAAAAATTAATGTTTGAATGAAAGTTTCAGTACTAATTACATGCAGTACTAATTGTAAACTAATAATTTCTGTGCCAGGAAATATGCATGCATTTAGGAGCATAGGAATTTTATTGGATTAAATTTGGCATACATGTAAATTTTAGATGGAGTAGGCCTCTATGTATGCGGAATGAAGGACTGCAATGAGTAGTTCAGGAAATACAAAATAACTTAGTATTATAAAAGTTTTTTCATTTGCTGTTCAGCTTAGAGAACAGAGTTACACTTTGGCCAAAATATATTTGTCTTTGCGTTGATTTTGAAGGTATGTCATAATCTAGGTGGCTGGAGCTCTCATTACTAGAATGGGAAATGAAAGTGCTTTTCTTTTACTTTGCATTTCGCAGGAAACTATATACTTTTTTATCATTCATGTGAATGTATATGTTACTTTTACAGAGAGCTTCAGGATGTTGGTGGATTATTTTTGTTTCGGCTGTTAACACTAATCATTTAAATAGAAGGTATTATCTAAATTACACTAATCTTAAGGGCTTCTCGTGACACTTTTCTCACATATTGGGAAAAATATAGCTGAACATTTCTATTAGTGCAGAGAAGACAGTACATGAAATACTCTTGGTGAGTCTTCAAATACTTACGATTGCCACTATTGCCACCATTTAGTGGACACTTAGTGCCGTGTATCCTTTTTACGCCTAATCATTCTGCAGTGTTAATGACATATTCAAAGACTTTGCAGATCCTTTTTATTGCTTAAACTTTCAGTGGTGCCAAAAGTACCTTTGGCTTGTTTGTGCTGTATACTTACGACACTTGAGTCATGCTTAAAGCCACCAACCATAAAGAATGAAGAAAAGCATGTTACTTTTGTCAAGACTTTCACTCCTTCAGCTGCTCTGGCTTCTATCCTTGTCAGTCTTTCTCATACTTGTTCTTTGTCAAAAGGTAAATTGATATTTATGATCAATAAATATCCTCCTCCCCCTTCCCCTTCCCTCCTGTCCTCTCCCACTTCCCCTCCCCTTTTTCTCCCCCTCCCCTCTAGAAATTGAAGGTATATGTCTCATTTCATTTCTCCAACCTCCAGTCATTCCACTGTGCTACAGTTTTAATTTCTGTTTTGAAGCAAAGCATGCTGATTTTTCTTCACTGCTCGTGTCCTTGGTCTTACTAACACTCAAAGTCCAGCCTGTTCAAGTTGCCACTGTCACAGCTGGCTTGAAGAATGACTATTCTGTGCAGATAATGGAATCATGAGAGAACACAGCATTTCAAAGTGTTTTCTTTCATGCATTCTCATTTACCAGAAAGGTTACACTTGCAGATATAAATGGACTCAAGGCTAGTACCAGATGCAGTTTAATATTTGTCATGAATTTGCTATAGTATACTCAGTTATGTTTAACATTTATGGCCATTTTGTTATTGGCATTCTGGATGAAGCTGAGTTAGTGTAACTCTACAATGACTGAAAAGCATTTCAATATTTTCTCTATATTTAATATAAGAATAATAAACCTTTTATGTTATTCATCCAATATTTGACCAAAGAGTATTACTAAATAGCCTTGTAGACTGTTCGATTCCTTTAATGCCTGATTAAAGGAATAAAAAACCCACATTATTTAAATATGGTTTTGGCATTTCATTTGCATCAGATACTTTATATTATTAATTTTCTGAAGTGCTTCTGCAACTATTTCTCCCTGCATGCTATATATCCCCAGTTTAGCTCACAGGTTCTTAGTACCTTTTTCAGGTTATGTTCACTTTTTCAAAATACTAATTTTTTTTAAAGGTATTTAAATTCAATTAATCATTTATTTTCAATATATGCTTACTTCAAGGTGAATTTGATCATTTCCCAGAGTAACTAGCAAAATATTTATCCTACTTGGTGATTAAATTTATCTTTTCTCTTCTCCTGAGCATTACTACGTGCTATTGTAACGTTATTCCAGCTACTAGTTGGCTAGGCCTTCACACATTTCAAAAAAAGGTACTTTTAGTGTGCCCTTTACTCACTTAGCCTTGACATAATTCCGAGCTCCTTCCAGTCTGTATTTCTACAGTTTTCTGCGGATTCCCTGGGAGGAGATAGCCTTTCTGGGGAAGCTGCTAGCCATTTCCCTGGGCAGTGCCAAGTCTAGTCCCCTGAAGGGTCTTTATTCTGTTATTTACTTTTTCTTTTTCCCTCAGAATTTAAAATTGCACCATCACATGGTCACAGCAACCAAGGCTGTCATCAGTCTTCAAGTCCATGACCATTTTCCTTATGCTTGAGCAGTAGATGCAGCAAAGCAATCTCCTCCAGTTTGGCCATCCAACACCTGCATCAAAAATTGACCCTGACAGATGCCAGAACTCTGAGCCTCTCCAAGTTGTCCTTTCAGCAAATGTTGGGTAACTAAAGTCCTCCATGAGATCCAGGACCTGTTATCATGAGGCTGTTTAAAGGAGGCATTGTCCCTCTGTTGTTCTTGTGGCAGTCTGTAGCAAATGCCCACTGCGATTACCCATTTTGGCCTCCCCTCTGACCATGATGCATAAAGCCTCCAGCTTTTGTGTTGCCTATTCTTCTCTATGTTCGTGTTGGTCCAATGAAGGTCTTCCTCAGCATTGGTGCCCACATGAATGAGCAATGAATCATTATTTTTCATTATTATATCCTATTAACATAATGACCATGAATTCCAATTCTGGATATTATGCTAGTCAGTGCATATAAAAAGTTCAAAGCTGAAAGACTAATCTAAGAGAAGACAATGTGAATGTAGATAGGTGGGAAATATAAAGATACAATAGAGAAAAATTCTTTACCATAATACATGTTGATTGCAGCACATAAAGCAGCCTGAAACATTACAAAATTTTGTTTGTTTATAGGAAGATAAGGTTTTGGGAAATAATATGAAAAAGAATTATTGAAAAAATACGTAGAAGGGGAGTTCTATTCAAAAGCGGAGGGTGGCATGCATGGTAAAAGGCAGGAATTTGCTTGGCTATAAAGGTGGGCATACTGGAAAAGGATTCCTTCCTATGAATGAAAGGGGAGTAAGAGATGGGCAAAAAGATGGCAGTGAGCGAGGAAGAATAAAGCTGAAGCTTTATTGACTATAGAAATCAGTGAACAGCTCCCGAGAAAGTTTTAACATGCACAAAGTAACTCAAGAAAACATGCACAAAGCTCAAGAAAAAGAATCTTTCCAGCAGCATTCTGAGTGACTGTGCATGGACAAAGATTTGTTTGCTAGGACTGTAGAAAGCATGTTGTAAAAAAGCAAGATACTATCAGAAGGAACAGTATGAACAATAGGTTTAGTTATATGAGTGAAGACAAAAGGTTTTAGTGAAGTAATATAACCTTTCTCATCTCTATCCAACTCACTGAAACTGCAAATCAGTGTCTAAGGTGAAACAACTGCAGACTGGACTGACAGACCAATTTTTTCTATAATGTTGTTTGCATGTAGATGTTATAAGTAGGTAACTCTTTGGTTGTAGGATTGAGAGACTATAATTGATGCAAGTGGGCAAAGTAGTTTTAATCACTGTGCCCACTTATAGTACCTATTTTACTGACATGTGACAATTATTTATTTTGTAGCATTTTAGGTATATAGTAAGACTTAAAAAAATCCAGAGGACCGAATACAAAAAATAGAATTTTTTTCTATAATTAATGCAATTGCATTATTTCCAGTTTTAATCACTTGCAATAAATATTTTGTCAAAACGGCTTTAATCAAGTATCTTTTAAAGTATTTGTAAATATTTTTAAGTTTTAACATCAAAGGCCATTTTCTTAGATAAAACATTCTGTAGCAGCCTGCAAACTAAACACATTTTTACTGCATTATTGAAATTCGGCTTCACTGCCTTTCAAATGAAGTAGGTACATAGACCTGGGTTCTTCCCAGAAAAGTAGAGATTTACTAGTATAATTCATGCATAGTCAATATGCGTTTCAATATAGTGAAACCTGGGACATGACAGTTTTTTAAAAGCTTTGGCACAAAGATAACTAACTACCTGTCGGAGGCAGTTGCAAGGGATTACTCCTTTCTGTATGTTTTGATCGAGTTCCAGTGGTAGACATGGTAGAGAGTTTATTTCATTCTTGCGGCAATGATCATTGCTGTAACGGCGTAGCAGGAGTTCTGGTGTGATTTCTACCTATTTTGTTGTAGGCTGGGAAGGAAGCCTGTTCATCAGCAGTCAAGACTTTTGACGCTTCCACCCCAGCAATCAACAAGCTCTGAATAAGATGTAACAAAACCCCACAGACTACTATCCGGAATAGAAAGACTTAATAACATCTCTGTAGGCTCTTAAAACCATGGATGTGTGAGGATTGATTTAGAAGCAACCTATGTAAATAAAACAGAAAATATCTGAGGGAAATTCAAACTATCAGCTTCCCAGAAGTCAGTGAGCCAGTAAGTATTAGGCCTCTGTGGGAAGGGGCCTACACTTATCTGCAGATATGGAATTTGAAATACTTGTTTTGGTGTACTTTATCACATTGATAGCGTTTTCAGTTAGATTATCTTGTTTATGATCCCTCATGTGACAAGATGCAGCGTAGCAGGGGAAGCTGTGGCCTCGGCAACCTAATTCAGCATGTTTGGAGAGCAGGAAAACAGCATAAAACTTCCTAAAGATGACAGTTATTATTTTTGTGTTCACAGATGTGGTTTTGGATGTAGCTAACTGAGTGAATGTGTTCTGCAGATTTTTTATTTTGCATTCAATTTTTCAATCCTGCCTAAGTGAGACTGCCAGACCTGTACTACTTTAATTTGGGCAGCATTTAGGTGCAGTAACATTTAAAGAAAAGCTATAAAATATGTTTATGAATACACCAATGTTGCTCGTGTACCGGGTGCGGGTCATGGGGCGCTGCCTGCCGTGAGGGCCTGGGGCTGCCCCGTGCCGGGCGCCGCGGGGAAAGCCTGGGAGACACCCCAGGGAAGGTATTTTCTTTCAGGCCCTGGAGAGGACCCCATGGTGGAGCAGGTCTACACTGAAGGCCTCCAGGCTGGAGAAGAGGAACAGCATGAGGATGCAGGAGAGGCAGAGAGGAGTTGTTATGGACTGACCACAGCCCACCATTCCCCATCCTCCTGCGTCTCTTTAGGCGGAGGAAGTAAAGGAGTCAGGAACGGAGGAGTGAAGGTGAGCCTGGGAAGAGGGGTGGGGGGGGGTGTTTTAGATTTTCTCTTTTCACTCAACATACTACTTTTTTTTTTCTTTTTCTTATATTTGACAAAAAAGTTACATAAATTTTACCCAAGTCAGGTCTGTTTTGCCCATAATGGTAATTGATAAATGATGTCCCTGTCTTTATCTTGACCCACAAGCTTTTCCATTTTATTTTCTCCCCTGTTCTGCTGAGGAGGAGGAGTGAGAGAGTGGCTGGGGGGGTGTCTGGCAGACAGCCAAGGTCAATCCACCACAATCAGGCTCCAGTTTATCAGGAAACACTTTCACTATGAAAATATAATATGTTAAAGAAATCACTTTTTAAAGTTCATTTCTGATCACACCCTGCCTAAATTCTCTTCAGAACTAACACCTGGATTCAGCTTCTTTTTAAAAAAAAAATAATCTTGAGTTACTCGTTAATAAAATAGTTAAAACTATGTGTATTACCCATAAAATGTAGCCATTCTTTCTCTAGAAAATATCTAAGAATTGATTTTGTCAGATTTCACTTAATTGATTTGATGTAAGTTTAGCTTAAAACTGGAATAAAGTAGGTTTCTATGATGAATACTAACTAATTAAAGTACTGGAGGTCATTGTGCTTGGTTGAAGATCAAACATGATAATGGCATGGAACTGGACAGGTTCATTAACATCTGTTCTTGCAGCTTGTCTTTCTTTGTTCATCCTTCAAAATTTTCCCTCTCTTGTAAGGTGTCCCTTTATGTGTTATTTCTTAGAAAGAGACAGAGAAAACACATTTGAGACATTTTCTGTAGATAGGGAAGAAGAAACAATCGTGGGGTGAGATGTCTTCAGTCTAAAACAAGAGTCTCATTTGATGGAGTCTTTCAGGTAAGCTGGGTTCCATAATGCTTTTGCAAAAATAGTGAGTTATTGTAATCTCCATTAAAAAAAAATTAAAAAAAAAACCCAACACCACATCAAAACCCCTAAAAGAAACCACACAAGAACAACAACAAAAAGACTGTGGGAGAAAGCATTCTGGAGCTGTCTGAATGCTATAAATAAAGTATATGGTCTGCACGTTTTCAGTGCTCTGACCTTATTGGAAAAAATCCCAATTTTTCAATCCTGCCTAAGTGAGACTGCCAGACCTGTACTACTGCAGAAATGTAATGATGGTTCAAGCTGAATAAAATTCAGCATTTATAGACCCTATAGGATAGTCCCTTAATATGTTTAATGTATATGAATGGGGTTTTGTGGTTGGCGCTTTTATTATTATTATTTTTAATTTGAAGCCCTGTTATAATATGCTAATGCCGGAACATAATGACAAATGTTGCCTGTAGCAGCTGCTTTCCTCAGCAGTTGTTCCAAGCTGTGGAGCTTATTCTGACACAGTTCAGCTCTGTGTCCTAACTCCACACTCTAGCAAAACAGTTAAGTGTATGCTTGACAATCAGCATCTGCTCAAGTGCTGCTGATTAAAATGTAAAAGATTACTGTATGAAAGCTATAGCAAGGACACAATCTGCTTAAGCAACAGTACTAACAAAAATGTTTTGCCTGTGTCTCTGAGTTCAGATCAATGGTTTCAAACATTACCTACAGGAGTCTGTCAGCCACATCTTGGCTGCTCCTGACACCTAGGCTATCTACAGTAGAACTAAAATAGCTTTGCCTCTACAAGCTGAAAGGAGACCTTTATTTAGCCTTGTTCAAACAGAACGGAGTATGATCATGTGCTTTACTGAGTAGGGACTGATGAAAAACGAACTTCAAATCTAAAAATAGAGAGATGCTACAGGCTCCTCCAAGAAACTGCAAGACAGGTGATTGCTTGATTTTTTTTATGTGCACAATCTTCATTCTGTTTCCACAACCACAATTTTACCATCATAGCTTGGTTTTGCTAGAGAGGTGGTAAATGGAAGATACTCGTGTCATATGGGTACCACAATCAGGCTGTAACTGGGCAACTGGTGTTGCTACTGGCTAAAGGGATGTAAGCAGCTGTAACACCTATCCAACCCTGACCCTCTAAATTTTGTCTCTGTTTGGGCTGTTACACACCTGTAGGGCTGTATAGTAAACTGGCTGAGGAAGGTTATTCTTCTGCAAATATAAAGATATGTCTCAGAAAAGTATGTTCTCAGAGTAACTTAGTGCAGGCAACATTTTAAAAAAATTAATATCCAGCTGCTGAGCCACTGTATGTCTTGCCACCACAGCCTCTTCTGTCAGACCTATACTGCTTTATACTAGAGATTCAACACGTGGCACTTTAAGGAGTAGCACTTCATGTTGTCCATCACTATGATAGGTTCCTAATACTCCTAACAGTATTTGTAACCGATTTTATGTCAGGAGTGCCCCTTCTTACATCCCTAAATAACAGTCAAATAGCCAGTAAAACTGGCCTCAGCTACCAGCATTGGAACTTAAGCAGGGCAGCACATACTGTGTTGTAAAAGGAACACTGGTTATAGTGTAATGATTTGCCAAGCTGCACTGCAGGTTTACGTGTGGCTTTATGAAACATCTTTAAAAAGCAAATGCTCCACTCCACAGAATTTAGTCAGAAACTTAACACCCCCCCCAAATATTAAGTTGTTAGGTTACAAGAAAGAGGGAGAAGGAAGGAAACAGCATGTGACAGAACACTTACCGAGACACCTCCAGCCTTAGCATTGTCCTGTTGTATCGCAAAACCTAGAAATGCCCTTCATGGTATAAGAAAGTGTATTTGGCTAGTCTGTAAGTGATTTTCAAAACTTTTTTTTGCTATTCTGCAGTAAGAATGTAAGCGTTATTACTGACTCAGCCCAGTATTGGACTCCGATGCACTAGAATAAAATTATTCAGGGGTAATACGAAAAGCCTTGTCATGAATGCACAACTTGCTTATGGTAGAAGCAATATTCTTGTCCTTTCAGTCAGAAGTTAACTTACTCCTAGATATAGCACTTGCAATTGAATAACAACCTCAACTTAGGTAAAACATTCAGCAATTTATTATATAAGGTTCTAACACTTTTGCCACCAGTATCTACAAATTGATTGTCATAGTTCTTTTAGCATCTTTTAGCATCTTTTCAATTGCACCCAAATGCAACTGTTTGTAGTATAAAATTCACACTGAAATGAAAGCGCCTAAAGAAATGAGATTACTGACTCACGTATTTATCTCCTAGAAATCAAGAAGGTCAAAGTCAGATTAATATTTAATATTCAAATTAAATGTCATGAGCATAAATATGTAAACACTGTTAATAAATCTTCGCATTTCATTTCAAGCTGTGGTCTAAGGATTGCTTAGGTTTAACACACTTGATAATTATTTTTTAAAATATCACAGAAAATATTATTACTACTGTATGGAAAAAAAATCCAGATTGGTTTGCTTTCTTTGATTTAACTAGCAGTTTTAAGAATTTCAGTCAACATATAGCAATGGGTATTTTAGTATATGCTGGGCTAATTAAGGTCTGCCTAGAACCATGGAATTATGAAGGTTTTCTAAGAAATACAATCTTAAAAAGAAATGTATTGAAAAATAATTGCTCGGTGTATGAAGAAAAGTAAGTAGGACAGTAGATAAATATTTGTGTATAATAGCTGAACTTGTATGAAGAACTGATCCTCTGCAGCTGATAACAGTACTACTGCTATACATTTATTTAGACATAAGAGTTCTATCAAGTGAAAATTGTTGATGAGTATTTAAAAGTCTAATTTGATCTCTGCACTATGTTGTTACATTGAGAAGGCAGAACTCTTTCCTGGCCAGGGCAAAGTCTTCACACTTGAGATATGATTGTTCCCTGCATAGTTGTGTGTAGCCAAAGGAATCAAGAGCAGATAAGGTAGGTAAAACTTTGTGTAGGGATAAGTAGAACTGAGATAATCTAATACAATTTATCCAAATATAGAACATCTAAAACATCTTTATATTCTGAATGCAAACTAAATCAAATGCAAATGATTGCCCGGTACCAGAATATTTAGCCAAAGCCTATTTAGGTCTGTGTAAACAACAAGAGAGATAATATAATTTTGCTCAACTCAAACTACTTCATTGGTTTTCCTTTTGTGAAAATACGTCAGGTCTTAGCAGAGAAATGTCATAATATTTGAAAGTAAAGGATAACAATAGCACAGCTGTGCAAAGAATACACGGTGTTTTCAATTAACAATCAAATTTAAAATAAAAACTGAATATATGACGGTCCAAAACTTTGCTAGGCCCACTATTGTAAGCTATTGTTATTCCAGTCGAGTAATTCTTGTCTTTGACGTGAAATTAGTTACACACAGTCAGTGGCAGATGGAGGACAGACCTGCAATGCTGTCCTCAGAAATGGAGAAAATAAATTCAGCCTTGCCACACTGATATCAAAGTCATTATTAGAAATTCAATGTTAACTCTTCATCACAGGAACAGATTGGTATAAATCCTTTGAAATCTTTGCTCATTCAAAATTATTTTAACATTCAAAAGTATTTTTGCTGCAGAATACATTTAGGACACAAAAAAAATTCTAACATTCTTTGGTCAGATAGGTTCAAGCAGTCAGGAAAAATCAGCTGGACAGAGAGATTTCTACATTACTTTTGTTAAATCTTGTGACTTGTTTAATGTAGCTTAATTAATTGTTTCCTTTTGTTCAAAAAAGATCTCTTTTCAGCATGGAATAGACAAGAAATGGATACTGGTGCATGTGTTATACTGGTATATTTGTGTTTGCATAATCAACAATCAAAATTCAGTGATAACTACCTAGCCTTTTCTAAGCAAGACATCAAATAAGTGTATAGTTCCACCTATAAGTGTATAGTTAGATTTTCTCTAACATGTTAAGATCAATTTTGAAATCCCCCATCTTATTGCATTGTTTAAAATGAAAAAGTGCAATTTAACTGTACAACAACTAATTCAATTATCATAAGAGGTGAACTCGAACAGGAGTGATGAAAAAAAAGTTATTAGAACAAAGATGAGT